TCATCCGCAAATCCTGGTGGGTAAAAATGTGTTGCTCCCAGATCAAGAAGACGAGAATTGAGGGTTTTAGAACAATTACAAAAGTTTGTGTAGTTGGTATCACCTAATCCTATGAAGTAAAGAACAAGGCACTTATTTAAAGTCAAAGAGCAAGAGAGATGATGCTTAAATGAACATCTCAATTTTCAAGAACCCATATTCACAAAGGCATTAAACTCATAAACCAACAGACTATAGACCATAAACTAGGCTTGTAATACGTCCCAAAATTGAAGGTAAGGTGAAATAAAAGCGATATTTTTTTGGCTACTTGTGAAGTATTTGTGGGCTGTGGTACAGTATCATGAACTTTGTTTGAATGTGTTACTAAAGTAAATAGTTTCCCAGGCAGGATCTGCCACTAATATGGTTTGCGGATGAAAATAAATTTTATTTTATTGAAGGTGTTTCAGATAACAAATGTTACACCGAATGTTAGACCAATATATTGTATTAATATTATCATCGTCAATTTCAGTAGGGCTGTCCGATATACAGTATTTTTTTCTTAAGCAACTGGACTAGTATCTTAGAGTACACAACAACAAACGTATCTTTAAATCTGTAATGGCAGCAAAACCAACTGCGGTCCTATTATATAAAAGCTTTGGCGGCCTGGCCTTAGGATAGTCTGTAAACCCAGACGTTATTTCCTACGCTCTAACTTTCTGAGCAAAGAATGAGCGTGCAAAATGACGTCTGGATTCACAGAATAGGCCTCAGAAGGACTGGCTATATTTTAATTCAAAATCTAACATGACGAAGTCCTAAATTCTAACTGAATTACCTACCAAGCAAGGCATAATGAAGTCCTTTTAGATAAGTTGAGCCTAATGTTTTCTTCCTTAGCCTTCTCCAGAATTTTGTTACAGTATCAGGGGGATCACCATCGCCAGTTGTTGAAACGACGAACACAACACACTTCTCCTTTTCAATAGAAAACTAAAAAACACAAAGTTGAGGGATGTAATAGGGTTAATCGGTCGGTCATCTTCTCAAATAATTATCAAGCATAAATTGCTGTCAAATAGAGAATAGGAATTAGTCTGAATTTATTCAATTCTTGTGGGACTACCAGAATAGTGGTGGTGACAGCAGTGAAAGCTACTGACTTCCAGACGAAGGGACGTCGCTCAAAACCGCTACCATGATGCGACCATTAACCAATCAGATTCGTTTGATTTATCTGATTAAACAATCAGCAACGTAGTAAGCCAGCGAGAGGTGGTGGAAGCGGAAAACAGATCTGAACCTCTCTAATATACAGGTAGTTGCATCATAGACACAAGTTCACACTTCGTGTATTTCGATATATATGACCAATGTATACCATATTAATTTATTACCTGTATTTCGGTACGCTTCATCCACGTACACCGTACTTCGGTCATACGCTACCGAAATGTGGAACTGAAACAGATGACAAAGGGTCATCAATTTTTCATCCAACCAATCTCTTTTAAGAAATGATGGCAGTATTACTACGGATTGTCTACGGGACCCTTTTTAATATTGACTTGAAACGTAAATTTGCCAACCTAATTTTTCGCTAATTTCAAGGCGCGTCTCTCTACCATATTTCAGCATACTTCACCTATGTAATATGGCAATATGCAACCTTTCAGCCCATTTGAGTATATGTAATATACATTAAATTGTTTTTTCAGTACTTGATGTGAATCTGAACTGACTATTTCCATTGGTATCCTTCTCCTCTGAATACCATAAATAGCTTGACCTACAGTACACATGCCATATTTCAGATACTATATTTATTTTATTCATGTAGGGTCATATTTGGAGACTATACGTGAGCCACGTATACCGTACATGGTATCTCAATATCAGTGACTGATGTATCACTGGTAAGGACACCTCCAGGGTCAGGCAATTATATATGTTTTGACTGTTAACCCTTAATGCCTGTCATTAGATCTATCCATTAAACTAACAAGAATCAAATGTAAATTGGGGTAGCACTGCGTCTCATAGCCACCTTTCCATTAGAGGGCACATTCCCATCGCTTTATCTGGAAAAAAGGCAGTTTGAGGAAATGTGGGTGGGGAGCATGCATGTCTCTCGATGCATTTACCTGTTATATAAACCTGCAGAACGCTAGTTAATAATAAGTTCCTGAGATAAAGCATTAAATTGTGGTGTTATTTAACAGTGTGATTGGCTGACCCTGCATGACCATGTACACAGTCTCATAAATGTCTGAAACCTCACACATGGTGTCTGTACCTGCAATTGTAAATTCATGCAACTGTAAATACGTGATTGAGTATATTCTTTGCAATGCACTGAAGGCTTTCAGTTTTCTTCACAATTCAGGTCGGTCTTTACGTTTGGTTTTTCATTACGTTTTGTTGTCTTTGTAAGGATTGATCATTTCAATGATGGCAATAACCCAGTCAGTTTCCAAGAGCCTAAAAATCCCACCTACATATTTTGCAAAAATATGCTGCATGCATCAAATATAAAGATAGGGAAAAACGCAGGGAGCTGGTATTTATGTTTAGCTATGTGGTCTTGGATGAAGTTCATGTTATTCCTAAACAGTTATCAAATGGCATCATTGTAGACATTTTAATAATTTAATATCATGCTTAATATGATGTAATGTGTTTTATATCATTTATTTATTTACGAATCTTTACAGAGGATATATACATTTCAGTAAAAACTACTGTTATAAACATGAGTCCTCTGATATTAACTACAATTACTACTGCAACATTTATACCTAAAATTACTAATACCAAAGCATTCTTAAGCCTAAAATTACTAATATTAAAACATCCTTAACTCTTAAGCCCAAAATCACCAATATTAAATTTCTCTAATTTCTGTCTGGAGCTCATTATAAATCTTTGCAGCAGAAAAGTTTGCCTGGTAAACTCCAGTTTCACTTCTGTATATGTCGAGTAGAGTTTTGTTGTGTGTACAGTATGTGATCTAGTACGTTTGCACACAGTTTATTTTAAAAGAAATTGAGAGCCAGCTACAGGCGTGGCCAAATGACATAATTATTAGGGGGGTGTTTTCGGGGGCACACATTAGGGGGATGTGGGTGGTGTGACAACCCCAGCTTTTCAAAATCGGTTGAAAGTCGGTCCTGAAAAATGCATATTAGATAACCAGTTCGGTCCAAGGTTTGGTCCCCGAACATCCGATATACTAGATAGATATATTTACGGTATATAATTAAGATAAATTAAAGTTTTTCATCGTTTTTTATCATATTTATATATAGATATAACTGCATTGGTGAATAAAATAGCGAGTTTCAAAGGCAAACAGCGTATTTTGATTTTTGAAATTTGACCGGCATTTTCCGGGTGCAAAGTGCTTTGAGACAGACTTGACATTATCTTTTAACAATGTCTGATATGTCTGACCCGGCGGCTGGCACATCAAACACGCAGTCGTTAAATCAAGAAAATACTGGATTGTAAAATCAAGAAAATACTGGATAATTGGCACTAAGGTCTAAGAAGACTAGTAAAGACTGAGAAAGCGTCAGCGGTTCTGAAATTCATTCTAGGTATGTTCCGTATCTTATGCTGAATTGGCCATATTTTAATTTTGGCATAGCCGGGTAGTAGGACCTCCATACATATACATGCGTCTCGGACCTCTCGTTTGTAGCTTACTTTAAGGCCCTCCCTACGCGAGCCCGGGATGATTTTCAACCCAGGTCAGCATGCCACAGGTGGTTATTTTTTATTCGGTTTACATGAACCCGGGTTGACGAAAATGTTTGCCAACCTGGGTAAGCAATTTTCAATTTGAGGACTTCCATTTACATATTTTAAACAAGAACAGAAATGTAAAACAACTAGCTCTTGTCGCCACTAAAAGAGAACAACAATGCTGTTCTATTTTTGGCTACAAAAGCTAGTTGTTATTGGCATTGTGGTTGTTACAGTGTTTCAGTGTATTGGCATCACCCGCAATTGGACGGACGAAAGTAACAATTATATTCGAAGAAATAAACTCGTCTCTCTCTCTCTGCTACTATCCGATTTCCAAGGGTGGGTTGACTACAAACTTTTTGTAGTTCGCTATAACTACAGCTACTTCAAAAATATGTAGTCAGCTACAACTACTGCTACTTTTGAACAATAGTAGTTCGCTACTGACTACAGCTACTGCTTAAAAAATGTAGCGAATTATTTCGCTATTTCGCTACGCAATATTTTTTAATTTTACTGTATTTGGAGCATCTACTAGCTCAGGCTGTAATGTAACCTATATAACAAATCGACTTACGAATAAGATGGCATGCACTTGCACGGCATATTTTATTCATGCAAATTGAGTATTGATTTTAAGCAAACCGTGTCTCAATATCATGCTATTCTATCCAGTTGCTATTCTATCCATTTTAAAAAGTAGCGAATAGCGATTTTCTGTTTGAAAAGTAGTCAACTACTTGGCTACTTTTAGGCAAAATGTAGTTCGCTATAACTACAGCTACTGTTTTAAAAAAGTAGTCAAAAATTGTAGTTCGCTACAGTAGCGAACTACAACTACTTCGCTACTACCCACCCTTGCCGATTTCGCACCTGTGGCCTGCGAACGGATATTCTCATGACAGCTCATACACATTACTAATAAACACGTCCTGGTATTCACACGCGAGCTCATAGGCCTATACACATGTTTTGATTCTTCAGTTCAGAAAAAGACTGATCTGATTCTATTGATCTGGAACAGATTGAACAAATGCAGAAATTGAGCAAACTATTAAATTAAATAAGGGATGAATTTTCTTAATCCTTCGTTCGTACACCTGAACGAGCCTACCGAAAAGGTAGAGTTAAGACTCTGAAATGGTCGTTTCCGGCGACCTAGAGGTTCTAAATGTTGAAAATTTGCTCGTTCGGCGCCAACCATGGAGGCGCCTCGTGAGACTTGACCCCCTGATTTCAAATACATTCCCACGTCCTTGTTCTGTGGCATGATGTTTTTGCAGAATTGTTTTTACCAAATTGTTTTTACCCTTCTGTTTAATTTCTTTTTGAATATCAAAAAGTCGGTCCCCAAGTGGCCCACACCCCCTTAGAAATTCCTTAGATGTGCGCCCCTGTCTAGTTTATTAATCATTTTTAGATTGTAGTCTTTAATTTAATTAAACAGTAAACTGGCAGTTTATTGAGAATGAGATGAAGTGGGCGCCGGGCGGGTAGGAACTGAAGAGGATTTCTGCACCTGTATTAATACCAGAGATCAATGCGATCATCGTGTTGTCAGCTGACACAATTATGCAGTTAAAATAAAGATTTTATTATTATTAGGGTACTGAGCCATGAAAGTCGGTCCCAAAAAATTTGGCATCCCCCCCCGAAATTTTCGAAATGTGCGCCCCTGGGTGTTTTATCAATTTTATCCTGACGCAGTTGCTTGGATGCGAAACAAGTGTGATCACGCAGAACGCGATCGTGGACAATATATGTTTCATCAAAAACACACTTCAAAGATGTCACTTCCATCCATTCCATCAAAGTTCATGTACCTACCTTCTTGTCCGTAGTACTGAAACACAGCAACTTTGCTTTCAGATCATAACCTTCAGCTTGTTCATATATTTCTTCAGCAATCGCTTTTGCTTGTCCAGTTTGAGATCCATATAGGATCGTAAAAGTATTTTCACTCATCTTAGCTGAAATAATTTTCGTTATCCATCCTGAATAAAACGGAGAACGTACATAAAAAGACATAAAAAGCCCGTGCGAATTAATGGTATTACCAAATCATCGGCCATCTTTGTTTTGACTGTGATCGCTTCTTCTAATCTTCTTCCGGAGCACGTGCACTGATGCACGTGTTAGGCCACTCCAAATTAGACTTTAGTCCTTTATATTCTGTGCTTTAGTTTCCCGTCCGGCCCTTATTTCAAATTACACGCATGCCATTATCCATTATTTATGGTGTCTCCGTGTCTGAAAGATGAAACAAGACCCATTATTTCATGAAATAGATAAGCGTTTTAAATATCCATTCAGTCACGTTTCTATGCAATGTTTTAGTTTTTTTGTATACAGAAATGAAAGCTAAGATATTAATTAATCTTATCATCTTTTACGTTCGAAAATCTAAAATTGTATCGGAAGTGTCTAGCTCAGCAAACGGGAAAAAATTCACGCTTTTTGACAAAAGTTTCAATAATTTTATTTCGATTTTTACGTCTTGTACGTATTCCTTGAACGATAAATCATTTGAAAACTGTGGATTTTCGTTATTTTTAGTTACAAATGTCAAATAATGGAAACAAGTTTAAGGTTACTCCACATGATGAAAGTCCATTTCAGGAAAATGCTCACCGCGCACTAAATTTTTAAGTTTCCCCCCTCAAATTTGGCACTCACAACGATAAATCATTGCTGCTGCTACTACATTAACAAAAATTATACATTTTTAAAAACTATGGTTGCTACGAGCTGCTTTTGAAAATATGACGCACTTCGCGCGACGAGCTTTAGAACCATCCGATTAAACTCAGAAGCTTCCGAAATATCACATTTCCCATGTTAAATGATCAAAGAACAAAACCGTGTTCGCGTTTTTTGACAGGTATTATATTTGCCGAGATATAAAGCAGATAAGTTGACTCATCAAAAGTTTGCAATAACGATAGAACAGAAGCCTATAATTTGAAAACTAAAGCATTAAAAGAAAAACGCGAACACGGTTTTGCTCCTCTGATGTTGTTCTACATTGTGGTAACGTTTGGCATGTTGTAAAAGACGGACTGGACTGGACCGGATTGGACTGGACTGGACCGGGAAAACGCGGACTGAGTCCGTGTTTTACAAATCGCGGACTGAATTTGTAAAACACGGACTGGACTGGACTGGACCGACAAAACACGGACTGAGTCTGTGTTTTACAAATCGCGAACTAAGATTTGTAAAACGCGGACTGAGTCCGTGTTTTACAAACCGCGGGCTGCAATTTGTAAAAGGCGGACTCATTTCCTGACAAACATCGAAGTGACTCAGTCGTAAAGGTTTTGGCGGGAATTGCACTCAGTCGTGAGAGTTTTGGCGGGAATTGCGGATAATAGGTCGGTCAAGGAATAATCATATCCTGCCGGACCTAAGGTTGGTAGAAATTACTATTATTTATTTATTGTTTTGAATAAACAGCGTTCAATCTTAGGAACACGCTCAGTCATGTGGGACTTTGTACTATTGTCGAGGAAACACATGCTCCAAATGTGGCCGTTTCATGTAAATAGTTGTATGCCTGTATAGGTATAGGTCTTATTATAGCAGATATACCATTTAGTGTTAATCATATAATTAGACGAAAATAGAGTTAATTCGTTTATTTTGTGTTCGTGGGGAAGAGGGCGTATTAAATAAAGGTGTTTACAAATTTGCGAGAAATATGAAATGAATACTGTAATCGAATTTACCTTTCAAATATTTGTTTTACTAAACGGGGAAACTCTCGCAGGCCATCAAAACATCAAAGGTAGTGTTGTGCATATAAATTACAATAAATTTAGATTTCTCAACTTTTATTGTTGTCGTACGAGGAAGTTTCTAAAAATCGTTATTCGATTATAGTGTTCAATTCGCATATTTCTCGCAAATTTATATATACACTCGTTTTCAAAATTACGCGACCTCCCTGAAAAATACTCTTACTTCAAATGGGGAAAGTACAAAACATGGACCCCCGGTCCATGGACCCCTTGTCTGGACTGGGTCCATGGATCCCCTCTATGGACCGGGTCCTTGGACCCCCTCAATGGACTGGGTCCATGGACCCCCTCCATGTGCCGCATTTTCCCAAATTTCAATATTACTGTTAAACATGATTCGAGTTTTCAATTTTTAAAAACATTTTAGTGGTTTTAATGCGTACTTTTGTTCTTAGCAGTAAACCTCATCTACACTCCAGCGTTTGCTTCATACTAAACAGTGGCGTAACTACTATGGGCTCAGACCGGGTGAACCCGGGGGCCCCCAACCCAAATGGGGGCCCCCAGGCTTAGGTGATAGGGCAAAACCATTGGCCAGGGCCTCTGATATGTTACAATGTCGTTTTATGACTATCAGAATTCTGTAAAATCTCTCCCCAAAGTCCAGGAAATGGCATTTCAGGGAGTCTAGATTCAAAAATTTTCCGGATGACCATGCCCTGGACCCCCTAGAAAACTCGTACATATACGGCGCTCGACTCGTGCCTTTGGCACTTCTACTAGGGGGGCCTTCGAAAATTTTGAACCGGGGGCCCTTGATATAACGTTACGCCACTGATACTAAAGCGAGGCTTGCTAACGACATATCATGACAAATCAATGCACCATGTGAATAATAATAGTGTCAATGATCACAGCCTATGAAATTAAAGAAACCACTGCCAGCAAAGTGTTGAAATAATAAACCACTTTCATTGATTGAGCATCTTAATTAGCCTTCTTGCTTCAATATACAAAAAAGTGTTTCAATTTGTCTCTTATGAAAGTGGTCTACTAAAGGCACTGTTCATAATCAGCAATTTGATTTGCTTCGATTAATACATTTTTGTGAGCAAGGCACTAGCCAGCTGGATGTATAAGTGTATAAGTGTTATTTGGGACAAATTACTGCATAGAACATTTTGACCTTGCAAGTAAATTTGTTTTCTCTTATTTATTTCTTATTTATTATCTTATTTATTTTCAGGTGTATTCAAAATTCCTGTTAACATTCATTCATAGATGGGGTCATTGAGAAATCGCGCATCCGTGGACCCGGTCCATGGAGGGGGGTCCATGGACCCGGTCCATAGAGGGGTCCATGGACCCGGTCCAGACAAGGGGTTCATGGACTGGGGGTCCATGTTTTGTACTTTCCCTTCAAATGCCAGTTTTATGTCACGAAAACTGCTAAAAATAGCAAACGTAAACAAACTGTCAAAAGACATTTTAAACCGTATTTAATACCAAAACTGAACAAAAATGAGTTAGATAACTTAGATATACAAACTAAAGCACAATACAAACCATCACAACAGAAATATATATGTCGTGAATAACTTTTAAAGTTTGAAAACTAACAATTTATCCTGGAATTTTAATAGCTGTCAGTTAAAATACGCGCGGTAGACTATAACGGTGATGTTTATATGATTTTGTTTGTGCTTAAATTTTGCAATAATTCGCACTAAAATATCTTGAAAATCATTGTAAGCCTATATTTATATAAAGCATAATAAGCATA